TACTCAGACGAGGCACCTTTTACCGTTTTGATCCGAGAAACTTACGACTGTAAGTTCTTCGGAAAGATCGAGCGAAAGCAAGGAGAGCCGCAGGATGTCAGTTGGCGCGATGAGAACATCTCGCTATGGTTAACGTGGTCAAGTCAGAACGAAGCGACAAGTTTACCGCTATATAGGGGGTAAGAGAGGATGGCACTAAAAAAACTTGTTCTTGCCAGTCAACGACAAAGCTAAGCTAATTTACTTTATTTCGCATTAATTTACATAGATATTTATATGTAGTACACAACATATGGATAACGAACCCATCGTAGTGAGAAAAAATTACGGTAGAGGTTTACGATATTAAAGATGACAGTTTCATTAAATCGTACTGGAAAACAATTTCGGAACACGATCGCAGCTTGAGGACTCACACGAGGCACGAAACCGGTGATGTACTCACGAGCCATTCAAAGATCATGAAACCGGTAATGCACTCACGAGCCATTCAAAGATTATGAAACCGGTGATGCGTTCACAAGCCATTCAGAGATCACGAAACCGGTGATGCACTCACGAAGCATATCACGAAGGTGATAAAATAAGAATTAGACCTAATTAGTAGCAATTAAAAACAACAAAGATTTGAGCAGTAGGCTACGATAATGCGAATTCTTTTAAGACACCTGCACGGATAGTGTCTCGAGTAAGATACGTTCCTTGTCATTTATTTTCTCAATAAATGTGGAGATTTGCACTTTCACGGGTTAAAAAACGGAAGATGTGATTGTATTTGCTTTCTTTAAGCATGTTAATAATTCATAATAATTTTATATGGTGAAAACTGGGGGCATTGGACATAATAAAGTATATTTATTATATATATATATATAAATATATACTTTAACTTTATCCTGTGTATAGGCAGGGATAAGTTACGATTATGTCCAGTGCCCCCGGTTTTGTATGTATATATATATAATGTATAAAATATAAAATATAAAAAATGTATTTTTACATTTTTTTTTTACTAATAAGGATGTTTTTCTCTTAGATTGATCTATTCTTGATCTAATATAAGATTGACGCAATTTTGGGTGGATATATATATATATAAAAAATAAAACACTAATTCCATCACTATCATCTGGTGCTTTGTGGTGCTTACTCAATGAAACGTTACTATTTAACCTACACTATCCTAAATTTGTTGTGATTTTAATCCTAAAAATACAATGAGCTGTATTTTGTATATATATTGCTATATTAAAGCTAATGTGCACTACTAGGGTGTGTTACATGTAAAGTTGCACTTACATTACTTGCCACTTAAACTGGTATTGGCTGGGTGAGGGCAACGGTGCATAAAAATTGCTCTTCATTGAAACTAGACTCACTCAGCTTAGTATGTTCACGAAGAAAAAAATACATGACCGATCGCAAAATGGCCTGCTTTCATACACAGTGTTCGCTATAATTACAGTATTGTCATATATTAGCGGTTAGCACTTATTAACAGGGGAAACAACCGACAATAAATAATAGTTGTAATTTCTTAAGCTTGCATTCAATAGTGTTAGTAGAAAGTGACTAAATTTAAATTTAAAATTAAACTGTTTTCTTTCAGTCTATGTAACATACCCATGAAATGTATTGACTCACACTTAGTTACTGACTAGGAACAAGCACAAGTGGAATTAACTCTTGGAATCTCCTATGAGACCTTGTACTTGTAAACTACACATCAATGATCTCTAAGAATTTTGTATTGACATGGAACATATGCATTTCGACGATAATATGTGAGTCCTCGCAAATTAAATGACATGTCATATCACTAAACAATTAACAGAAATAAGTCATTGATAGACTGTAAGTAATGTCTCTCTCAAAACTAAAATACTTGAGTAAAAGCATTTAAGTGTCAGGATCATATTAGTCGATTTCACCATCCACATAGCAATAAAAAATGAGTGCGCCTGTCCTTTATATATATATATATTGTCTTGCTTAAGCTGAACTTCAAGTATTTTAGTTTTGAGACAGACATTGTTTATACTCGATCAATGGATTATTTTCGTTAAGTGTCTGGTAATATTATCTGTCAGATCATCCCTAGTGTTGCTATGGGGATTTACATATTAATAGCAAAGTACTAAGAAGCTACATGTCGAGATACACATATTCAAAAAAGCAGGAAAAGTTCAGGCCCGGTTGCGCGATGTCGAAAATCTCTTTAAAGAAATCTACTTTTCACTTATACAATCATATATCCTGCATGTTCTACTTTTATTCAAAGCCAATTATAATATAAGATTACAGCCTTTAATCGGTCTCCAATAAAAAGTAACACACATGTTAAAAAAAAAAACGTATAAATTTTTCCATTTTTAAATATATGGAGCTGTCCTATGCAAACAAAAGGAATCTAAAGATAGGCAGAAGCTACATGAATGTTTGTAAAACTCGTTGCAGTACAAATGAGAAGGATATTTATTGAACAATCCATTAATAGGCTTTTATAATAGCCATAGGCTTACAAACACCAAAGGAGTATTTCCCAAACTTTCCATTTAACGAAGCATTTCTTGATAATTACGAGAGGCTGAATGTACATATATTTCTTATTGACTGATCAAGACGTTTTAAATACGCGCGAAGTTTACAATATTAAATATGTAATATAAATTAGCCGGTCTGGAATCTTCTCATTTTTTCTAAGTACCGGTAGCTTTTTGCTTTATACTTTTATATGACGTAATTCGCTGCTTAGTCGCCATAGGTGTCTGTTATCTTCTCATTTTTTCTATGTACCGGTAACTTTTTACTTTATAGTTTTATATGACATAATTCGCTGTTCAGTCGCCGTAGGTTAGATATTTTCTTGAAGCCATTGAAGCTTCACTTCGTTTGAAGAAATATCAACGAGGTGCAGCACAACAAAGTTGCTTTTGTTTTTAGTACCATCGCGATTTAGCGTTATTATGGTATTTCACACCCTTTCGGTAAAAATATAAAAAAAACAAAAAAAAGCCGTTTCAACCCTTACTGAAACTGGAACCTCCCGCTTATTTTCATGACACAAATCAATAGCGATATTAACGTATCTACCTTCTGTTGAGTCTGATTACTTTGATTCACTAGGAACTCTTATAAGTTGCTTTTCTTCAAGTTTTATTCCAAGAAGGCTTTTATGTACGGGAAAATACAACGAACATCGAAGAGTTGTTTGAGAAGACAGGCGTTCTGAAAGTAACTGAAAGAAAAAATACATAACTGGCTAATTTAATTTTAACATTGACTGATACCCTGGCCGATCACGTATTGAGATTATTTGGAACGATGAAAAGCTAAATAGTTATCAGTATAACTCTGCCTGTGAGATCTATCAGCGTTATATATCCCAGTAAAAGATAAAATCTCCTGATTAGCAAATGCTAAAACACTACACTGATAACCCTGAGCATATGGCTATGTGTTACCATTGTAGTATTCGGTGTTGCTTGCTAGCAAAACAGTCCCAGATTCATTATTACTCACGCAAATATGGACTACTTTACGTTGTCATTCGTAACTGACGACTCTCGGGCAGATTTGGCGTAAAAATATATATCTGTGCCTTGATGCTCACATACTTTATATATATATATATATATATAAAATCGAAAATTCCAATCGAATCACTTTAATTGAGACAATTAATACAGCTAAGTTGATCATCAGCTCGTTATACGACACCCGGTTTTAAGCTTGTTCTCGTTGCTGCGTTTGGGATGCAACTTCCAATGAACTTAATTCGCAATTTCACAGTAGAGTAGAATATCAAAAAAAAATTATTTTGTGGTGTTTAATGCTACTGCAGCACTAGGTTTTCTAGGAACGTTCATAAGTCTTAGGAGGAGGCAGAGAAAAGATCATGGGTAAATTTTTCGCGGGTTGCGGAGCGTAGCTCAAGAGAAAAAAAGTTGCAACGCAGCCCAGATAGAAAGCCAATTAAAGGCAAAAAGGCTTTAGGGAAAGGATAGCGAAGTAAGTGAAGGTGAGGCATAACAACTTCGTAACCCTTTATGATATGAAACAAGCTTTACAAAGAAAATGACTGAATTTCTTCTTTCCTAAATATATCTCTAACTAGTAGGAAGTAACCTAATAGATATCTGGCTAGTTTAGGAGGTAGTATAGTGATTTTTACTGCAGACAAAAAATATTTAAAAAAAAAATCATTTGATGTTGAAACCTCATTGAAACCTAAGGTTGAGGCGCGATCATAGCGAGAAATGTTTACGGAAACCTATGCAGAATATTTGCGTGACCAAATTATCCAATCGGGAGCTGCGGAGCCCTACAAATATTTTTTCTTTCGTGGTGTCTACTGAAATGATTTGCTATTTTATGATTTCCGATGCTCCGTTAATCTTCAAAATCTTCAGTGAGCAGAACGGGATTTCAAAGCTCAAAAGAATTGTATTGCATACTGTGCTACTTAATTAACTGTGGTGAGTTTAAAAAATGGTCTGTGGCGAGTTTCCTTCCTTCGATCAGTTTTAGTTACTATATATAGCTATAGAATAACCTAGTAGCTTATTTTTCTTACTTTTGTAATCTAAAGAGGTCCAGGTGCGGTTCTGTGAGTGGCATTATATGTAAGATAGCTTTCAAATAATGGAAGCCAAAGGTTGCGCAACGTAACAAAGTGGTGTTTTTACAGCCTGCTGGAAACGTTATCGTTTTGCACGAGTGACACTACGCAGAGTGTTTAACAATTCTTGGTAGTTAGAAAGTGATAAATTTAATAAGAGGAGCATTAGTTTTGATTGGATCGTAGAAATACAAAGCACTTTTTGTACGACGCTATAATTTCTGTGAAAATAGCATGAAGGATATTACTTAGAAAACTATGCGACGCAATAGAATCACAGCCTTATCAAAGGAAACAAAGTTGCAAATCGCGATGTCTTTTAATTTACATAATGTTCAACTAATCGCGTTATCATTTGCACTTTTGTAATTTCGTTCAGATACCTCTACGGGATACACGTGCAAACCATGCCCCATTGGAATGACCGGTGATGGTAAAACATGCCGTTGGGCCAACAAGTGCGCGGATCAGCCATGCTATTCCGGTGTTCAATGTACGAACATTGATGTTCCTCCGGGATTCAGGTTTGTTAAGACCCGTACCACTTCCATCTAATTACGTATACCTAAAAAACGTTACCAAATTGTACACTGCAGCTAACATTCCAAACACAACTTATGTATATGGGAAGTTCGCCTTGTTTTGGATAATCTCACCTTTGAATTCCCGCTTCTCTGCTTTGCTACCCATTTCTTGTGATAGACAGAAGAATGTCACAGCTAATGAAAATAAGTTTTTGTTATGAATAAGGTTTTTTCATTAAATTAGAATGTATAGGAAGTATTCATTTTATAAGTCTTTTGGAATATAAACATTCCAGTACAGGGATTAGTTTGGCTGGAACAATTAGCTGTCTTCTCTTTAGATAAATGTATCGGTGCTCTGTCGTTGCGACAACTCAGACATATGTTTTTCCGTGGGTAATGGTAACTGGCAGCCACACGCCGACGTCTCACCATGTTATGGATGCCACCTAACTTCGTATACTTACAAGTTACCTGCGTAGTGCTCCAGAACTCATTCCATTTAATTTTGTAATTCCGTCCTCAGTATACACAGAACTCGTTATGCTTTAGTTTTCTCGATTAAGGCTCATCCTGGAACGTCTTTAACATCAAGAATACAATAAACAGGATGAAACATTTCTCTACAATAAACTTTTACTCTCTCTCGAATCGAGTCGTGACGAGGCCTACTGATCTAATAAAGCCTATTTGAGGAATATTAGTGACTTCCTTTTTGTCTAAAACGAACTTTTGCTAAAGTTTTTTTGTTGGAATAGGGAAACTGATTGTCTGAAGAAGAATGTCAATGATTTATGTGAGCCTCCGCAGCTAAAATTTCAATTTATACGGGAAGAATACACGCTTGAAATCGCTGGTTCTAGGCTTTCGAAGTATTCAAACGTTGCGTTTTTCCACTCAGTAATTGAGTTGCGCTTTCTTCGATGATTTGGCCCATTAGTATTGCTTTTCTGCAATCTGTTTTCATTCCCTATTCAAAACGACTTGAACTTCCTGGAACTAAACATTTATTTAACCTTCTTACGTGTTTTTTTCCATGTTTTGATGTTCCGTTTTAAGTTTTTATATTAGGTAGAAGCAGCAACTTGTGCATGTTTTGGCCTTAAAATGTACTACGGTGTCGACATCGTTTGTTACGCCTTGTGTTGTTAGTCGGACGCTGCAGTAAAACTTTTTCCCTCTCAAGTAAGGTTGAATGAAAACATGACTTGAAAAAAAAACAGACAAAATACGGACAAATATACTTATTTGATTCAATGATCTTTTGCATAGCTATAATTTCTTTTGCGTTCTATTTTAGCATTTAAAAATATATTTCTGGCTGAGATTAGATCATTTACATTGTAAAATCGTTTGCTTCTTATTGTAACTACTACAGACAACAGCCGCCCACGAAACTGCTGTGAATATATTTCTACGGATAGTAGGGTGTGACATTGCGCAAAGATGCTTTTATTTTTTACTTACTGCAATTTTAAGTGACTGAATAGTACGCCTACTTATTGAGTCACTTGTCTTTAAATTGAGGAAGTTGTCACCCCAATTAAATTTATTAGATGCATTCCAAGATTTGTTTATTCTCCCTCTATTCTGAAACGACAGGGAGGCAACATTGGGTACGATTAATGCATATTGTAGTAAACGTTGCTTAGCCGGGGGCGCTACTGGGCGATGATAGCGAATCATTGCATTCCTTTATTTGGCTAGTAGCAAATTGCACGAGTTTGTATATAAGTTACAGTAATAAAAAAAGTGAGTGTTATATATGTGTGACATAGACGCAAGGTTAGATCCGCACCGTTCTTGCCTTTGAATTGACCAGTTTGATTCATCGATGTTACACTCTAGCTAAACTGAAGCAGAAATCTCGCAGTTATTCTGCCCCATTTACCACGTTACTTATTTACAATTATTTAGTCAACCCATAAGAACGAATATAACGCGTTTTATGTGCGTCATACCTAGTCTAACGTACCCCTTAGTTTAGTTACTAACCTACGCTATGCGGTTTTTTTTAATTAGAATATTCCAACAGTTATTTGTATAGACAATCGGCTACAATATTTTTCGAGACCCCACTGTTTCCCTCGACTGCTGTTGCAACTCCCAGATTACGTAGATCATATTTCACTATTTGATAAATGTTATAGTTCGTGTTCGTCAATCCATGGTTTCAGAACAGTTATTCAGTACAGTATGTTACTCCTATTACTCTGCCTGAATTATTCCATTTTACTATTGAAATATCTGTTAGCCTTTTTATTTTGTTAACACGTCAATGCCTCTATGTACCTTGTTTCAGGAAGAAATAATTCAGCTTAACTCCAAATTAACACCATAAACACATAAGAATGTTACTCCATTTATACGTTTAGTTTACCTTCGACAAAAGGCCAGCCTAAGGCCTTACCTTAAACCCTTTAATAGTTATGGAATGCGTGGTTGCGATTTTAACGCCCGTTGCATATGTTCCGTGTCTTTAGTTCAATAAATCCTGCTTTCCGAAAAAAATGTTTACCCTATCGAGAGTACGAACTATACGTGGTTCGGATTCCATAGACCGCGTCGCAAATTAACCATATTAGCGTAACGTTTCTCTATGTCAGTCAACTAACTATCTATCATCATCAATCAATCTAACATGGTTCTATAACTGCGATTTACTACATTTTTATTAACTTCACAATATTTAAGAAGTTTCTCACAAAATCGGAAGATCCGTAATCTCCTATTACCTTAAAGATCTTAAAGATGAATAATAGTTTCTACGTTTGTAATCATCTGCATGCCTTTGGATGTATTTTAGATGTGGCCGATGTCCCGAGGGCTTTACCGGAAACGGAACCCACTGTGAAGATATCAACGAATGTTCCCTTGCTAATCCGTGTTTCCCAGGTAAGTTGAACGTTATATGAAATTATGAGCAGTTGCAAACCCGTTCGTTATGTTTTGCGTGTATTTGAATGGAATTATTAATCAATTATCAATCAAGCGTTTTAAGTTTGACAATTTTTGCAAAAAATTGCAAAACTTAAAACACTAGCATAGATATACATTCCGTTCAATCCACGTGAAGATTAAACATTTGGCCATTTACAAACAAGAAATCGGACCGTCAATTTCAGCTCGGTTCAGATTTGATCGTTCCTAATCAACACGCAGTTTACAACTGACCTTGGGACGCATACTTTTAGTACTTAGGGATCCCTGAAGTATCTGTCGATAGATCTGAGCACAGCTAAATATCTTTAGAAGTGACATTTCCATAGACATTTTTGTGAGATTCCGGCATGCTTAGGATTAATCAACGTCTTTTATAGCCTTATATAGCAACATGGCAGACTAAATGACATCGGTTTTGTATTGATTAAGATTTTAAGCGTTACCGTCTGTACATCAGGACTTGTATGGCCTTACTGCGAGAAATATATGGCGGCACTCAAAAGGTCATATGTTTCAAATCATTTGCATGTAGCTTGTAACTACCACCAAACTCTGAAGTTGTATTACGCTCCATTCAAAACATTTTAACATTCGATTTACACAGATCACGCAAAAAAGTGCACGTAGTAATAGCTTTAATTTGTCATGCATTTGGAAGAAGTGTTTATTATTTTATGGTAGTGATGCATCTGATTGGAATTATCACTCGTATCCGCGGATAGCGACTCGAAGGCTGTACTTTTATTATCGTTTTGTGCTCTCAACACACATTTTACACAATTTTTGTTACTTCTGTGCATTATGTACATCGAATGCTCCAACTTGCTAAAAAATATAATTTAATGGTACTTTCTAAAGAGCGTAATGTTAAATGTGGCATTTTCAATACGATGATTAGTTATCTTGAGGGTAGCCAGTCTCCCTACGCCTAAAACTTTTTTAGGCTTTATATTTCTGCAAGGCTCGCCAAAAGTCATATCGATATTGGGAATTATGCTCTAAGGGAGATGCTTATAAAGTATTGCAAGCAACTATAGCTTTGAACCATAAAAATTTGAGGAACTACCGAAAGCTGTGAAGTACTTGCAGTCACCTTGAAACCCCCTGGTAAATAAAATCCAATTCCGTCAAAAAAGTCTAGACTGTTTTCCGTATCAATATCTGTCAAGCCGGTTGGACAGGCGAGCCTAAATAGCAGTAAAGGATTTCAAGCCCTTATTGTAAAGAAGCAAAACGAGCGAAACAGAGGAAAAGAGACTAAACCAATTTTGGCTTAAGAAAGGTTGATCGACTTTTGGGGTTATAGAACTAGGCTTGAAGCAAAAAAAAAAAATGAAAGAAAACGACGAAGAATCGGAGTCATTGTTTGAACTTTTTTCTTCTTCGCCTTTAACTTTATGTTAGATATGACTTTGGGCAAGAAAGTATACTAATACTGTAGAATTTCGCCTACGACGGAGTGTTCAGGCTACTTATGATGCAAGAAAGAAATACTCTATGCAGGTAACTTAACGTTAGTGATTACTGTGAGGACAGAAACAAAACTAGATAAGGCTAAATAAATAGATGAAGTGGCTATTCGATGAGCAAATACAACATTAAGCTAGTCTGTTATTTATTGGTTAAGAAGTGTGGCAAACTAAATGTCAACTCAAAGATATGTAGTCGAACTAGAAAGAGTGGTTCAACACGTGAAAATACGGACTGACCAGAGCCTAAGCGGAACCGCACACATGGAGCAAACGATAAAAGCTATTAAGGCAAAAAAAACAAAGGCTACGTAAAGAAAGCACGACGAATACTCGTCCTTCAGAAAATTTGATTATTCCGAAGCACCTTGATTCTTTCCACTGTAGGCATGCATATAACAATACCATGGTCGTAATAATGCGTACAACATTATGGTCGAGGAACAGGAAAGCCTGTGTAAGCATCGAAAGCTTACTTGAGAAAAAGTAAAGGAGAATACCCTCAAAAGGTTACAACAGGAGTGAGAGGGCACAATAGTCACTGCCTGGAATGGGAAGTTGTTCAACCATGTAATAGAATAACGGTGGCGGAAGCAACAAGACAGGATAGAATACTGTCAGAGGCTGTAAAACTGCCATTGAATTGAGAGAATGGTACGGGAAAAGCGTTAGAGAAGGATCTATTATCTCATTAAGGTACTATTAACGAATCTTTCCTAGCGTTTCTTCCTAGGGAAGGAAAGGCGTAGAGTAACTTGCACATTACGTGCAACGCTGGCGCATGCAATGACGTGACTTTCACAGTAGAGCACTGCACACTCTTCGAAGATGAGAAACGGAAGTTGAAATAAAATTAGTCAGCCCATTTAGAGCTGACACGAACTTACTGCTTCAAGATGAGGAAAATTAGAGTGCAATATCTGCATACGTTATTAAATTTAAACGAAAAATAAAAAGGGCTAGACACACACAGAAAAGAGGGCCTCTTGAAGCCCTGAAATGAATAGGAAAGTGCCCCTCCCCCCCCCCCCGCCTGGAGTAGAAGCAATGTTAAAACTAAATCCAAGGGTAAGGAATTTGATAATTACTGTGCTTTGAAAATTCTGGCTAAGGTTTCACTCTATGATGCTAGAAAATTAGGTGTGACTCCGTTGTCCCGTGATTAACATATTAACTTTTTAAAAATAAAAAACACGAAACGAAATCTGCGAAACTTTTTTTTACTGTAGTATTTTCACTACAAATAGTTTACAATCACTTCCTGAAGCGTTATTTTCTATAAATAATTTTTAATGTATGAGTACGGATTGACATTTATTTCGCTGGTTTTTACGGGGCGCACGAAATTCACGGCAATGAACAGACAATAATCAAGCTGAACAATTTAGATGAAAAGGATGCTTGTTATCAAAAAAGATTGATACGTCGTTTCGAGTTCAGCAAAGAAGCGAGCAAGTTAGTCAAAAAGCTAATCCCGCGTAGTTATCCCGTAACTTGCTCGATGAAATCCCTCGAGCCTAAATCCAATTATTTTAATTTCAACTTCAAAATCTATAGTCTTGTTTACGTAGTGAGTCTATAAGTATGTTCAAAAATGTGATCAGTAACAAAAACTAACGCTTAACGTTATAAAGGCATCTCTAGACCAGCTGGTTGAAAGATCCGCTTGTAGAGATTGTCAAACTGGAAAATAAACGTGGCTGATTTATTATCACAGCATGCAATGTGGATCGAAGGCCTATAACAGACCACCCAAGATCCTAAAGCTGTTCCCCTTTAAAAGAATCTAATATATCCATTTTGTTAGTCATTCCATTATGGCGAAAATCATCATCGCCAACAACACAAATATTTCCCTCTGCTAGTTACCGTTAGCACACAGCAGAGCGAGTTGTCAACTCGAAACGGTACTTTATATACAAAGAGAGAAATAACTGAATAGATAAATAGTCAGGAGTAGCTGCTTCAAATTGTTTATTTTTTTCATCACAATAAAAGTGGGTGGCTATCTGCAATATAATGTCGCGTAGTGCCTATAATAAAAAAATGCTGATGCAATAAGGCTGAAACATTTAGCCCATTGAACTAGATTTAAAACGTGTTAAGTGAAAAAAGTGTGCTATTTTAACCTTTGTAGAGCAAAGTATACATATATCAACTTAGTATTCATTTAAACGCAACTGGATAAAGAGAGTTCTCAAGATAATATATGTATATACATTAAACTGCTTTAGTCGCATGTGGTTCTTCCATGTTGGTTAGCTGTGGTACCCATGGTGACCAAACGATCTTGTACTCCCCAAAAAGATCCAAAACATATTTATACATTACACAATAAACTCGTAAAATGACGACTAACAAGGTGATGCTATGAGACTATATAAACTAGATAAAGGGACTTCCTTTAAAACAATACGTCTTTCAGAAATACCTGTGTTGGCATATCATTCGGTCATTAAACAAACTGCGATTTTCTTATCGCTTTTCTTTTTACATGTCACCCTTTTAGTTGTGCCATTGTCTCTAGGTGCGCCATCTTTTTCTTATTTTCTTTCGGAACCTCCTTCTTGCTTTTTGATTTATAGTAAACAACCACTATTTTTTCCGTGAGATAAGATGATTAGCTGTGGCCAAAGGCGTTACATCGTCACCGAAAATTAGGTCTATTGCTTTTGGCATAGTGTAGTATAAATCTCCTCGCAATTTTTATGTTATTTCTGTAATGCCAAAAAAAATATATTTACATAGTCTACCTGTCTATGGAGAGCCTGAAATCAAGGACGAACTCAGGCAACGATTTTGTCATTTGTTCCGTGTATTTATTGTGCAACCTTTTTTTGTCGTTCGCTATCCCTACTACAGCATATTTATCGTGTTGATATGAAACAGCATCCGTAATATTGTATGATAGCATGCTATGTTTGAAGGCTGCATTCATTATTTGTGAAATTATTAGCCGTGAATGCGTGCGGTCGATAGCTTTAAGGAAAGTCAAGGGTGCTGAAAATCAGCCACGGAATCCGATGACTCCGTGCGGCTCAAATCCAGACATTAGACCGTAGGTCACTAGCCACTTGTGCTTACAAGACTTAATGACACAATAAAACAAACCGCCGAAGTTCCGTTCAAGGTTTTTTACACTATAGAGGAGTTGTTATTAAATGAGCTTCAGAGGACCACCGATAATTATAGTATAAGTTCATTCACAGGACGTACTATATTGTAAGTTATACATATCTTGTTAGTAAGGAACATCTGTCCTTGCTGCACAACTATGCTTACGCAAGCTGAATATGATGGATGCTTGTGTTCAGCCCATCGTAGGTGTAATGCATTTCACTGAAGATCAAGGACATAACCGTTTAAATAATGTTTTACAGTTTGTGCAGAGATCGTAAAGTTGAAGTGAATGCATTCAACAATATAGTGCAGAATATATAATAATAAAAAGAAAAAGTGATAGCTATAACTGGAATTATATTTAAAGATCGCCCAGTGCCAATCAGAACGCGTTCTCAATTGACAATGCGTAACAATGCTGGACCGAAACTAACTGCTGAAAAACCGTAGTGATTAGAGGTTCAAATGCTGGTATCTTTAAAAGGCAACTACTGGCGGGAACATTAGGTCATTGTGCTGTAGAGGTTATACTATATAAAACGAACATTAGTTGCATAGTAAACAAAGCAAAATGGATTGATCCAAAAACGCCATAAGCACGAGCAACAAACAGCAGACTAAAATGGCCTATTTGGCTAAATAAGGACCGTGAATGTTCTCAGTAAGACCTAAAGATCATGAGTTTTGAAAAGACTGTAAAGTGGATATGAAACATTATTATAATTATTGTAACAGAGTGCCTTCGGCAAGTCTCGGTTGTCTGAATTCTGTAGTTTTTATGTAAAACCGTGATTTCCTGGTATCTAGCTATCGTTGTATAATTCGACATTGTATCTAGGTACAAAGAAAACACATGGAATGCGTGCAGTTGCTGATTTACGGTACTGCTAGAACTTATAACCTTTTCATACTAGGCAAACGGGACGGTTATTTTCTCTTCCTAATGCCTGCATACATTGAACGACACACCTTACGCACTCGCTCTTACTAATCATTGCTCGTACTTTCATATAGGGTCCACTTTTCTTGGCAGTCTCGAATTCAACCAATTATGCTAGTTTAACATTAAAGCGATCACTATTTATCAATTTGATAGTTTTGCATTTTCTGCAACGTTCATATATAATATAACTTCAGTTCTACTCAATTCAACTATTACGAATTCAGTTTTATAAAGATAGATTTATTTACAATTTATTTGGTCATTTATATGGAAGTTAGTTATCTATTAATTCCTTTTGCAACAGATTCATTATAACTCAATTGTAAAATAACTTTCTTAAAGCTTTTCATTTTGACCTGACCATTAGGAATACGTACACAAGAAACGCCCGTGGATTTAGCGTAAAAAAATATTATTCGTGGTATTGTGAACTCATTGGTATAATTAGAATAATAGGAATATATTGGTTGGTCATCGACACAAACATTATCGTGCTAGAAGTGCACATAACGCACCTTACTTTGTGACCATCTATTGTTATATGACGAAAGGTAATCTATGAAATAAAGCACAAGATAAAAATCATCTAAAAATGCCTTATATTGAAAGCTACAGATAGAAACGTGCTTTTTTGCCGTCTATTAATTTTAAATCTCAGTAATTTTGAATCGACACCATGACAACGTGACCGTTCCGTAGCTAATAACCTCAGCGTTAATACAAGTAATTATAATTACCTCAGTAGCAATTTTAAGATGCGTCCAATACCAAACTTCGCTTATATTAGCAAGCATTTTGATTTGGGTACTATACCAGGCCATAGGACTTTGTTGGCCTCATTCATCGTTATATTTTGGACAAGCTGTCTCCTATCGACGAGTTTAATAGTTTTTACGTTAATAATTTTTTATTCTGATATTGACAATTAAAGGAAACCAAATTCCCATACTTTTTAATATATATACCGGAGTTAAATACGTTTTAAAAACTACTTAAAGTTATATACATTATTTGCCTATTTGACTTTATGTATTACTTCCTGGCCTCAAAAATGGTATAGAATCTTCATTGCGGCTGTCTTGCGAAAAACAAAGGTGAAAGGAGGTTTTTACCAAACCCGTATACCGACACGATAACCTTTTACCTGACTAATACATACATGGAAAATCCAACAACAGCACGTTCATTTAAGATTATTTGAAATTCGAATTATACTAATATTATTGTTAAGATTCCAACAAATTTAATGATAATAGCTACGAACTACTGTCCCCAAGCTAGAAGCCCGTTATACGTTTACTTCTGACAAGTTTTTTGCTCGATTTCTCAGTTTCATGTGTGTATCAGTGTAAGATGACTGGTTGTAATTCCTGTCTTGCTTTTCACTGTCTGTAGGGCAGGCTTGCAAAGTCACTGGTGAAGGCGCAAACAACTGCGTAGCACTTTTCAATTACTTCACATCTTTGGCACAAATTACTCTCATTGGGCTTAAAATAATTGTACGGTGACTTGTGTTGGTAAATAGCTGATGCAATACTATATTCCATAGTCGTTATGCCGTTGAAAGACAATTTTTTCTATCTTTGTGAATGCTAAAAGCAACATACTCCACATACAAAACGCTTGAAACCTTTGCTGAGGATATGGCTGCATACATAAAATAGTACACTTCTATAACTTTGTAGCGCAACTTGCAAATGTTCCAATTTATTTAAGCATGGTGGATTAAAAAAAATCATAGAATTTTATAGTTCCCGGTTCAAATTTCGAAATTCCATGATTAGCCAATCACGCTAATGTTGGATATTATTTATTTATAATAATAATTTATTATTAAAAGGCATAAGTCTTTTTATTCGAGAGTAAAAATATAGGAGAATGTACGGGTGTTCTTATAAGCATTATTACAGCACTTTAAACGGTCACTAATCAGATGCATATGATTCTAAACAGCTTTGTTGTTAACACCATGATTATCTTCTCAACATTCTTCTCACATGCAATGAGAATGTCATTCGCTTTATCCGCGCTATGGCTACTGTACCAAATATTGCTAATAAAATCGAATATAGAAATACATTTACCTGATTTAAATACTTTTTTTTATATAATCTCATACCTGCGGGAAGCCAAATTTACTGCATGAGTTTTCATTTGTGCAGAAGAAATAAAATTTCATTGCACAAATTTATGTGTGCGCGGCACTATTTAGGACAAACATAACGTTAGGACTAAATTTATGACTGAACATTTGAACATTTTAGCCAGTTTTAGAATCCTTTGATTAATGAGATCCTTGTTATGGGAAATATATTTTTCAATGCAACGTGTTTTTTTTTCATAAACGGACTTATTATTATCATTAATGAATCATCCATATTAACCACAACTACTGAGGACTATGAAATTAAGTAGTAAAATTGCAGTGAGGTGATTCACAACGTCGTCGAATTGGTATGCTTTTTTCACGGCTTACAGAAACATATCGAATTCAATAGGCAACCCAACGTACTTTCATAGAAACCGTTTGTCATGCGTGGGTATAAATCCTCGTCAACGCTATGAACACATTCTTTACTGAGAGGCTTGAGGTGCCGCACCCCTTAAAAACAGCTCTAATAAACATCCCAGCGCTGTCTACAAATGACTCGAATCAATCCCGTATGCAAGCTCAAACATTCATTAATGAGACGCCACTGTTTATAGCATTTTACTCCACAGCCCGGGCCTCGAGTAGTTTGGAAAGGGGGAAATTCGGTGGCAACACCACTGAGGGCGCTATCACCAGTATACGGTATGAAGTTTTATCATTGCGGCGGTAGTGATGCTAATATCACAAGCCAGTTTTTCATAACCTCCGTAAAGACAGAATGAGGTAATGCTGTAAGTACATGCATGAAGGCTGTGTAAACACGCGGCCAAGCGTGCATCTGCGGCCTTCCCGAAGCAGAGCCTAACGAAACTTCAGTGCAAAGAGTCGGTCAACAAAAATATATGAAAACATAATTGTTTCTTTCGACTATTGCCTTATTATATAATTTAGTTTTTTCTTTTTTTTTTTTTTATAATATCTACTACAAATTATGTAGTTATAGATTACTTATAGTACATCTACATGCCTATTTTTCTATTGCAGGAGTTCAATGTATTAATTTGAAGCCTGGGTTCACTTGTGGTCGATGTCCTCAAGGATATACAGGCCGCTCCCTCGAAGGTATAACCTATTTTAAAGGTTATTTTTAAATTTAGTTTTTTTTTGTTATTTAGCGTGCGTGTCTGCGTTGCTTAGACAGTGAATGCAGAAGTGTAAAATGAAAAAAAAAAAAGCCGTATTTGAGTGCAAAATATATTTTAAGATTAGCAGCCTTATTGGCAGTTAAGGTGCAAACAGTTTAATTATGTTTAATAAGGCTTAGTAACAAATCATGAGCTAGAGGTTAGACTGCTTTCTCTACAAATAAACTGTTAAGTCCTTAATGTTAAATACCATTTCGGTTGGTCATTACCATATCTGCTTTTTTCTAAAACAGCTGAGCGAAATATGGAACCAGAGATGTCTGGTAGAAGTCAAATACATTAACCACAATATGAGCTTTAACGCGCAGGAAAATGTTACAATTTAATTCCAAATGTTAGTATGAAGAATCCACTACTACACATTACGCTCCTGTGATACCGTAGTGATCAAAGTGTATGCCTGCTAAACTTGTGGTAGTCTAGGTTCTAGTCCGGGCATAGGCACACTTTTTTGTGCCGGAAGCCATCTGAAAATACCTAAGAACTTAAATACCGGACATGAAATGCGCCATACATTACCGGCTAGATATAGCACAACTGTTAAAAATAAATACAATACACGAAATGATATGAAATGCTAAGTTTACTATTATTGACCTTACCGTCGTCACATTACTTATACTAACTACTAGCTTTGGATTAACTTTTCGTGGTTTTTCATAAAGTATTAGAGGTTTGTACATATTATTTCGTTTTCTTTTTTAGCTGCTAATGGTCAAACTAAATACCGCTGAATACCTTCACAGAAATTCTTATCATTGTTTTATTCATAAAATTTTTGTTCGAAATTTAAAAATCTGACCATAAAAAGTAAACTTATAATGCTGACTTTTTGATATCAAATAGCTGCGGAATCGACTTTTGCTTCGCACACAGGTAAGACTATAGCTAAGATATATGGACTAATCTAACGATTGTCTATCTTTGAAAGTAACACTCTCAGTTATAGTCACGCCAGAGTCACTTGCTTCGGTTAAGGACATTGTTTTTTGCCAACATTGCCAGACATTCATTTTTCGGGGCCCATTGCTTGCCTTTATAACTATTTAGTAGGACAAAAGAGTTTCCCAGATATATTCTAACAATACTTAGTTATATGGTTAATAAACTGTAGAGAAAATTAATAAATAACCACTATGGCTTTCGTAACTGCATACCAGGTTCAGTTCATATGCAAATTTTTACGACATATGAAGCTTATTAATGCATAATTTATACAACTGAGCGAACACAGCTGTTTCGACTGATCGATTAGAGATTTTGAATGGAAAAGCGCGGCTTCACGCAATGTGAAGGGGGCCATCTCCCACTCTTGTTTGACAAAATCGCCTCTCTGAGGCGTAGCTAGCACCAGAGACCCGCACAAACTCGCATAGTGGGTGTTGTAATTGCCAGCATCATAGTTTTCAGCGATAGAACTGTGACATGACAGGCCGTCGACGTTGCGGTTCGCCGTGCCGCTCAGGTGTCGGAAATCGTATTCCAACAACTCCACAGCCTACTAGGCCAATTTCGAGCAAAAGCCTCCCTTAATGCAAGTTCTTGAATGCACTGCTGTACCACTGTAAATTGCCTGTACAGATACAGGCGGGTTCGCGGGTAAACGACATCCTAGACCGGAAGGCGACCGCCACTTCTTTCCTGGGCTGAGAGTCGCCTACTAGCGTATACCATTACGCACCCTTCAGTCCTCACCAAGACATACACGCTGGTATGTTCCAAAAACACGGTTAAAACGACACTTACCTTAACGCCAATATCCAGCACGGCCCGTAAAAGACCAATACCCTCCAACCCCGTGTCGACTTCAACTCTTGACTGGACACCTGTTCTGATGAATCAGGCGACTAAGAAACCCATTTCGGGAGTCGTCGTGTTCCCCGACCTTACGCATAGGCAATGGGAAGTGTCCTTCGTAGCGATAATACGCTACGTCGGTTCATAAATGTGGCGCGAGGCCTCTCCGTTGAAAGTAGATTCCCTCTGTTATCTTCTGGCGTATAGCATTAAACCGTTTGGTTCGAGGTTGACTACAAAGCCGGATTCACCGCTCCGACGAGTTTTGTGTGGTAATAGACTTTATTTTTTATTGATGTTAGGCAGAAAAACAGCCTAGCCGTAAACGTTGCTGGCGGCTGGCGAGAACATTTCTGGGGGGCCGAACTCATTTAAGAGGAAGTATCTGTTAAGTGTGTGCTTAAATCCTCCCAAGTGCTCGCCGGCGACTAGCGACTAGTCGGTCGGCTGTGGATATATAAAAACCTCCAGCCGGCCGCATCTGAAATGCATTATAACAATATATTTTTGAGTCCGTTTCAGTGTGTATGTAGATGTAATAATATTATCAAGAATAAGGTCAGAAGGACGCATAGGCAATTGCGCATGATTTATTCTTAGTTCCACATCTGCACATATTTTTAGTTGTGTCGGCCTTGAATCCCTATAGCTACTATTAACAGTAGACGTTCCTGCTTGAATTTTTCCACTGCAAATTTAGCCATGCAAATGCCTCAACCACTTATAATAAAATACTATAGCTATAAAAGTTTTATTTCAATAAATAGTAATAAAAATAGCAGTCAGAGTTCCACAATTGTACTTTCAACAATAATAGACAAGAATAATTTTTGCGGCTATAATTCATTGATCTCATATCTCACATACATTAATGTTAGTTCTAACAATTAATCTTAAATCTAATATGCACAAACTATACTCAACGAAAGTAAGTAACAGTGGCTTGAACTATCATTGAGGTCCTATAAAAATAAACAATTCAGAGTCCTTTTTTGGAGCGATGGTAACTGGCATAAGTCAGAAAAGGGTATTCGACTCCATAGCTGATGTTCGAGGAAATCGAGTAAAGAAAGCGTCATACAATAGAATGGAATACGAACAGAAGACAAATTCGACTCTATGGCGTTTCTTACCCTACAGATGCCTGCTCTCATCTAGGAGGTATGGATACCATTAACGAGTTTGGCATAACTTCTATGAAACGAACGCTTCTTTATCGATTTATAGCTTCATTTTGTACACAGGAATTTATGAATACATCAGGAATATGTTTAAAATTGAGTGGAAGACGCATGTCCAAAAAACAGGATTATATTATTATGTTTGAGAGACAGGCATGGCCCAATTTGCAATGGATTCTGTGCCCTTACTTATATCCAATAATTCAGTGAATCAAATTGAATCAATTATTAATTGAATCAAATGCTATTCGAAGATCTAAAGGAATGACAATAGCATGTTAACCGAAATATATAGATTTACGCAAACAGTTTGTAAGTTGAAAGGTAAGGATGGCGCAGATTTGTTTACTTAGCATTAGTTTACTTAGTAGTACTAGTTACCTAGGTAAACCAGAAATCAGTCTTTCAATAATCTTTTTCAAAGTGGATAAAACAGTGGTCTATTTTTAATTCCCGCAAGACTCATAATCAAGGCATTCACATTGATTATTATTTACAGTCCTATACTCTTTCGAGTGATAAGGAAGTACTCATTTGATATACAAATTGATGAGTAAAAACACAACTGCTTAAGATTTGTCAGTATCTCACCGATCAACGTTGTATGTTTACTTTATAGCTAAATATTCTGCTGTATAAGGACTGTTGTATTTGAATAAGTCAGGGAAGAAATAATGAACCACACAGTTGTTACCTTAGTCGAAAATACCTAGTAAGTACAATTGATGCTCTTTTTTTTATATTTTAAGGGACAATTAGTTAAGAGGACAGAGTATACTTGTGATGACCGACCATGAGTATTTTGCATTGGCAAACCCATCAATGGTAAAACGCACGCAAATGTTCCTTTAATTACTGTAACTTTATTTCTGAGAGTAAAATGTTTGGATGTGTCGTTTTACAAGGTGACTTAATTCAATATGTGTGTGTATGGTCCCTTTTATTTACAAAATCAAAAAATTCTGAATGATCTACGAGTGATTACTGATTGTGTTTTTACACCGAGATACGGTTTCACCAAGTATGTGACTGCTTGCACAGATTTCACTACCAAAAAATAGTATCATGAGTATAAATAAACCGGTCAAAATAGGTAGTCATTAATTTTAGATTTAAATTTGAATTACTTATTGAATTGTTAAAAGGCATAGGGCAATTAGCTTATCTGTGGAAAATCAGAAGTGTCACCGTGGGAACTCAAACTGAAGCGATTATTAAAGAATAAACGAATTATTGCAATACCAATTCAGCATTCACCTTCCAAACATAATTATGACAGAAGTTCGCGCCAAGAAGTCCGACACAACTGATGTGAATGACCCTGTTGCTACATCCAAAGGAGAATGATAGGGCCAGACCAATGTTGATAGTGGTACTCGACTCAAGTAGATTCATATCAGAATCTCCTAATAATTTCACACAATTTACATTCCCTACTAGCCTGAGTCAAAATTCATTAAATAGGCGTTCATCAACCAGGCCAGGATGCCGTCAATAGACAATTCGAACGCTATATTACGATTAGCTGGCTTAACGATTTTAATCCAAAATATTTAAAACAGCTTTGATAAACAATCCTGAGGGGATAATCACTTTATGATACTAGGTGAGGTCGTAAACAATAAGATCTAATAACAACAATAAGAAATAAAAACCAAAAACAATCTAAGAAACATAATAGGCACCACTGCTACCAGCATTCACAACTGTACATGGACAATTAGAGATGAGGCAGAAATACAAAAATTCAGGGTGTAAAGGGCGCAATCAATAAGCTATCTTCACTGATCATGTTATTTCTAATTAAGTGTTTAAGCCATTAACATTATAGTGTAATTGATTGAAGCAACTATGCGTATTATCTTCAGCACGTACAAATAACCAGTTCTAATTACGGACGAATGATGATAAACAGCTATTTACACTTGTATTAATTATTTCATTTTTAATATATGGATATATAAACGAAGACTTTGTTTCCGGCGTTAAATTTAGGATCTTATATCTCATTATGTTCGCTTTGTCCACCACGTTCTTGGTAGACCTTAAAAAAAAAGAGCGTTTGCTGATGAAAGTTGTTATTGCCACCCCGAGACTCTAATAGCACACAACTACTAAGATGAAGGAACATATGATTTTCAATGCGTCTATGAATTGTCTATGCTGGCTCCTACGTATAGCTATTGTGTTTCGTATACCGCTTCTGTTCCATTCTTAAAGTGTTCAAATTCAGTTCTTACAAGCCCTTCTGACGGCAGCCCCTTTATCGAAAATAACGGCCTTCTCTGTCATTTACCTGCAGTGACGTAGGGTCCACTAAAGAAGTTCCTTCCCGTGTAAAATTGATTATAAGACTAGTCTGCCATTCTTTCTTATTCCTCATGGTATTTGCAATTTACCTATATTTGGCATTTATTTTCGGTTTAATCATTAACAGTCTTTCATCTGCTTCATTCATCTTCCAAAAACGAACACCATCATTCCCATATGGAGAGGTACGGATGCTTGTACAAGTCAATTACTATCGGCCTCAATGTTTCCAATTTTACGTTGTATTCCATCACATGACAGCGTCTAAGCACAAAATGAAGTCTGCCTACGCCTGGGTTCGAACCTAGGCCTCCCCAATATTAGCATTCAAATACGTTCCCGCGGAAGAACCAGAATACAAACCAGAGGCTATTTTTTCACTGTTATTACCAATGCCGCCCAAAGGCTTAAGCAGTAATGCTTAATAAAGAAGGAACTGAGAAGACCGCGATGGTGCTGACGGTGCCTCGGTAGGAATGGCAAAGGGAAGTGCAGTGGAAGTTTGGCTTGTGGGATGGCAAGAAATGGCGAGGCAGGGATACGAGGAGCGAATTCTAACCCCAGAAGTGATGGTTATGCAACAGCAACGCCAAATAACCGAAATACAAGATCTCAAAAGAACAGAATCACAATCGGCCTATTCTGCCCCACCCTGTCCTTTCAGTACTATTTTAACACTGTGACCTTGCCCAAATATCCAATGACCTGTCATAATCAAATATCTTCGCGAAACCAGTACGATCTACGATCCAGCTTTTTGACTGAAACGGCATTTTGGAAAATAACAAATAGCATTTGCAAAGGTCTAATAAGTGAGAAAATACTTCTTTCAACAATTCTTTGTAGCAAATGCATTTAGCGTCCTAGAAGACCAAACTCTTCCAATGTTTCTGAATTACTACGCTGTTTCAAGTAGCACTTGTGTGTGTGCACAGCTTTCTTGTTAAGAAATCTAGTAAAATGGCATGATATGTACTACTATTTTTCTATTTTAATCTACTAGGTACCGCATACCCTGAATGCAGGTGAAAATCAAAAACACCGGTTTGGTGTTGTTTTCCGTGTATTTGTTAATCGTATACTCTCTGCTACGCTCGAGACCGAAACCCGGACCATTTCAGATTGCAAGACAGTCTTGAATTAGTCAATTAGGTACTCAGTAAAACAAACATTGTACAAATACCACGTAATCATCAGTACAATCAAAACAATCATCGGCTTTAAAAAACAGAAACCCAATTTTCCATGTGTAAATTATTTCTCGGACTGTAATCAGCAAACAAAATTAACTCAACTACCCATCTCAGCGTTACACTCCAGATTCGAGAATCATAGACTGATTATACCATAATGCCTAGCGGTTAAAGAGCCCTCTACAACAAATTTTTTTTTATTTCTAAAACACTTCACGGAACTACAAATTCTCCAAAACGATGCCATACAGATGCTGCTCTTGCGACGTGTTTTTACTAATGCCTTTCGATATGTGATATCTTCAAAACTGCGATTTTGCACATGTCTCTATCTAATGTACTTAGTACTCATTCGCTATTCTATTCTATTCTAGAGTATTCTAAGTATACTGTTATCAGCAACCTTCATTGATGAACGTTTTGTCGTTCGTTCGGCTAATCTTATTCGTTGACGTCGTATCCCAGAACGGGTGTACACTAACATTTACCTCGTCAACTCTATTTGCTCCAATAATCATGCTGTGTTTATAGAATGCGCCAACAATTTGGTTGTCTTGTTGCAGTGACTCGCTGCAGAATTGAATTCTGTAATATTCGATGTTATACCCAAAGTTAAGTAAATTATAATTTAATTGCATTTTATTTATCTGGCTCTTTCTATGACTCTTGTAGTACAAATCGAATTTACCTTTCCAGGTAAATCCAGCAGCAATTTTATATTTATTTTTAACACAATAGTAAAATTTGTGATGATTCATTCAGGAGTTGGAATAAACTCTGCTCGCCTCTTCAAACAGCAGTGTTTTGATATAAACGAGTGTGACGACGGAAACAATGGAGGATGCGTAGAGAACTCTGTCTGTATAAACGCACAAGGAAGCTTTCGCTGCGGAGATTGCATCGAAGGTACGTTATGCAGATACGGTCTCCGACTATACTGCATTTATACTCAATATATTCTTATATATA